TCTATGCTCAGGACTTCCCAAACACATGCATTTAAAAAAATAGATTAAAAAAACTTGGCTTTGAAGTAAGTTTCAGTTTCAGTTCACTTTCAAATTGTAACTTTTATTTTAGAGAAAACGTATGTGTTCAGGATTAACCAAGCATTCAACTGGATAAATATGACTTGGATTATTCTGCACAGGTTGTGTTAGTAGTGGCAAGAGGGTTGGAGGTCAGTGTCAGCGTGGGTTGTCTCCAGGTAGGCTACTTCGGCTCCCTCCCACAGTCCAAAGACATGCAGGTTAACCGGTGACTCTAAATTGTCCGTAGGTGTGACTGTGAGTGTGAATGGTTGTCTGTCTCTATGTGTCAGCCCTGTGATAGTCTGGTGACCTGTCCAGGGTGAACCCTGCCTCTTGCCCAGTTTGGATAGACTCCAGCCCCCACGACCCCCAACAGGATTGTGGTTGAGTGAGAGTTTGTAAACAGATGTTTTGATGCAGTTTTTCCTTGAATCAAAGCGTCCCCAATCAATGAGTAAATCAGTATGTTGGCTTTTTTCTGTGGAGGCATGCGAGAACAGCAAAGTTTTCCTCACAAATTCAAAGTAAGTAAGTAAGTAAGTAAATTTTATTTATATCACACTTGTCACAGAGAGGACTCACAAAGTGCTTCACAAGATAAAATACAAAAAATACAATAACAGACACAATACAAAATACACAAAAACAAATAAAAAGTAAAGTGCAGCGAAATACAGAGATGATACAATGGACAATTAATGGAACGCAAGCCTAAACAGATGTGTTTTTAACTGCTTTTTAAAAATGTCCACGGAAGAGGCCGCTCTCAGCTCATGAGGTAGTGCATTCCACCATTTCGTTGCAACAGCCTTAAAAGGCTCTATCACCTTTCGTCTTTAATCTTGTGTGAGGGACAGTAAGTAGGTGGCCTTCAGCGGACCGCAGTGACCTGACAGGACAGTAAAAAGGACACCAGATCCGTCAAGTATGCAGGTGCTTGACCATGGAGGGCTCTGTAAGTGATGGTTAGAATCTTGTGCTGGATCCTGAAATTAACAGGGAGCCAGTGCAGGGATGCCAGGACTGGAGTGATGTGAGTTAACTTATGAGATCTGGACAGAAGCCTGGCGGCAGCGTTCTGGACTAGTTGTAAGTAACATGGCATGACTGATATACAAATGTTACTTTAATCATTTTAATATCGAACACCATCTTCTAAAAAGGGGGCTGCACTGTAATAGAAAGAGAGCAGCAGCCTACAAAAGTTGAATTCCTGTTCCTTTGAATAGTTTCCAACAGTGACAAGTTTGCTGGAGAGAAAAGTATGTGAACTTCAAGAGATACTTGTCAAACCACTCTAGCATCACAAACTACTACTCCCCAGTCCATCAGTGTATTCCCAACTGTCATCTTCTCCAAAATATCGCAACACCTTCGGTATTTCCCATGATTCATATTTCTTACAGTAATCCACAAATCTACAGAATATACCATAACAGTACCAAGTTATTTTGCCTGAGATCACCAAGCCTGGGCATTTATGATGATAGTGTATTAATCTAAGCCAAGAGGGACATTTCTATTAAGTACACTAGCTCCACAATCTACAGGGACATAACACGCTGGAATATTTGAAATAAAATAATGTTATATTTTAACGGATGACTCTTTTATGGGACAGTTTCTGTTCCTATTCATGTAAATGACTAATAACTCTTCCTGTATATACAGTCATCTCCAGTCCACTTGACCAAACAGAAGTACAGACGGGGTATTCACCACAGCTGACGGTGCAGGTTAAAGCATGTATTCACTAACTCGCTGAGCAAAGCAGAAAATCTCAGGGTAAACAAAACAATACACATGCAGTTCCTGCAGTGTTAGTTCTCAAGTATTAGTAGGAGGAAGTTGCCCATGAATAACCAGCATGCAGCAGGTGATAGAGGCAAATCATTCACAAAACAAAGCACGAAAACATGATCATGTGTGTTTTTTCTTTCATGTCTGATGATTAGTTGTTTTTACAGTACAGGCACAGTCCTAGTTAAAAGTTCAATTAGTAATACATGATATATTGCAGCACACCTGCAGAAAAATACTGCACTGTATACTTATTTTTAATCAGTGACTTTTTAGGCATGAAAAGCAGTTGTTTTTTACCGAGACATCACTGCATTTCAGGCTAGAATATAGCAATGAAAAGCACATACTTTAAGGCAAAACATGATCTTTTCCTAACCATAACTAAGTGGTTTTGTGCCCAATTCTAACTACTATGTATCTGTTGTTTGCAGAAATGTTCAATGCCAACTGTTTTCTGGCAATTGAGTCGCCTTTTAGCTCTGTTTTGGGTCTCCACCAGCTCCTGAAGAAAATATACTATATCTTTTTAGCAGCTAAATGCTTCACTTTGTTCATCAGTTAGCCGCTAACTTTGGACCTGATAATGGATGGTAAATAGACCATATAGCCATCCGACCACTTAAAGCGCCACATTCACCCATTCACACACACATTCATACACTGGTGGCCGAGGCTACCATCCAGGGTGCCACCTGCGACTCGGGAGCAATTCCGGGTTCAGTACAAACTGCTGATCTTCTGATCTGTGAATGACCCGCTCTACCTCTGAGCCACAGCCACCCAATGTTATCTGTCTGCTGTCTGGTGCCAGGCAGGAAGTGTACAGTGTGTTTATCAGTGCCTTTTACACTCAACACAGCTGCCTGCAGAGGCCCGAAACAAGGCTGTTAAGAGCAGTGAAACTCAAGTTGCAGGCTGCAAAACAATGAGCTGAAAGATGCTAAAATGCTCTTTATAAAGATGAGATGAACTGCAGAATTGGGTGATGATTCTCTGTGGATTAATCACTACAAACAAAACCTGTCAGCATTTGACCCAGTGCTTTTATAAATATGTAGATAAGAGCAGCTTTAAGGAACACAGTTACAGACGGCTTTCTGATGCAACCCAATTTCTTATCCAAAAACCCCCCCCCACACGTTGAGTTACTGACAGTTGTTCTCATTTCTCTGTACTGAGTAAAGCCTTCCTTTTTTCAGCGTCTGTTAGAATATTCTCTCGTCGCTGTAAAGCATGTATGTAAATAAGGTTGCTGTTGACTGCACCTTTTTATGTGGCAACGCAAAAATAACAGTGTGAAAATAAGAACCTACGTCTTCTACAGTGCACTAGATTTTGCAGGTCGCTGACTGTATGTTGTTTCCTGAATCCAGTTTGAGTTGGCAAATTACACATCACACAAAGATTTTGAAGAGTGAGAGAAAGGAAATATCATGCTGATGACTGCTGACTACGGTGGAAACACACACAATCCAGCATTCAGTACAGGTTCCGGTCTAAACCTGAACAATCCAGTCACCAGAAGAAAATGTTGGCATTGTATAGTTCTCCAAAACAAGGATATGTTTCATTTGTATGTTTCATACGTATCATAATGTTACTTGAGTCAGGAACACTCTCGTCATAGATTTAACCATTTATTGCAACAAATGGAAATACAGTTATTGCAGTGGAGGCTGGGGTGGTGGAGGTAAAGCTTCAGCAGCAGCAGTGGTGTGTGGCAGCATTGGTGTAGCAGGGATCGGTGGGATGCCATATTGAAATGGATCACCTTGTGTGGGAATGGGCTGTGATTGGTGTGCATATGACTTCTGTGTCCTGCATGAACTAATGCAAAGCTTCATTTATCAAGAGGAGGTGGAGGGGATGGTGGATGGGATTTCACTTAGGTAAGACTGCAGTAGACCACTGCTCAAGACCAACAAATAACGGAAGAAAGAAGAAGCGGGTATTTTAAATGACATTTCTGGACATTTCCAGCCGTGTTGGTTGCCACCAAACCAGGTACTTTTTAACCACACATTTCCAGCTGTGTTTGTGGCGACCAACCTGGGTATTTTAAGTCATGCCACAAACAGCAGCAGACCACTGTTTGAGACCAACAAAGAAAAATGGGTCTTTTTAACTACCCATGTTTGCTGCGATGAAACTGGATACTTTTTAACGACACATTTCAAGGTGTGTTTGTGGCAACCAACCTGGGTATTTTAAGTCATGCCACAGACAGCAACAGACCACTGTTTGAGACCAACAGGAAAGAAGAAAGAAGAAAAGCAGGTCTTTTTAATGACTTGTCAGGATTTTTCTAGCCGTGTTTGTTGCGACGAAACCAGGTATTTTTTGACGATGCATTTCCAGCCTTGTTTGTGGCAACCAAACCAGATATTTTAAGCCAAAAACACAATCGTTTCCTAACCCTAACCAAGTGGCTTTCGTGCCTAAATCTAACCACACATTAACCACAGCATTGTCACAACATAAAATTGAAATGTATCCATAGTTTGCAGACACGTACAATGCCAACATTCATTCTAGTTATTCAATAGACCTGAACGTTGTTGCAGTTGCTGGGGAGAGGCACTGCAACAGGATAAGCATTGGTGAAGAATAGGTCAAATATGCATGAACCCACAGCACAACATGCTGACTGAATAAAAAGTCTTAATTACTCATACATTCGGAGAGATAAGACACTTTGATTACCAGAGAAAAGAGAACAGGCAGAAATAAAAGTCAAGGCTTTTTTTATCAAATGTTACTGGAATCAACTCTGTCACTGTGCTGCCAGGAACACTCATTTCCCTTTTTACTAATAGCAGCATAGAAGCTGTTCCTGCTTCACTTGCAGTCTAATTAATGACCCTAATAATGACCTTTCTTTTTCTCATGGACTGACACAGAACAGAAACAAAAACTATTGCAGCCGTTAATCAAGTGTTTGAACTATCAGATCTGTTGGAAACAGAGAATTTGATGATGTCGCCGAAACTCCTTTCAGGAGTTTCAAGATAAGAGAAAACAAAGCTAAGGTGGAGTACCGATTGTACTGTGGAGTTTCTACACCCATTTCTACAAAAGGCTTATAAAAAATGATTCCTTGTAGTATTTTCAGTCAAAATAACAGGGCTGTCATGTAAAGAGTTAGAGTACAAAAGTAGAATTTATTACATATACATATATGCATTCAACAGTCTTTGCAGCATATTTGGGATTATACAAACTCACACAACATAGTCCATGTAAAAACATATCAACATCATAAAATGCTTGTTTAACATGTAACAAGTGCTTAATGTCTTTGTTGGTCACAAGTGTTTGTGCCCTCAGTACTTTGCAATTTGTGTTTGGAGCAGCAGCACCTGTTCTGTCTCAACTGCACCCTTCAGTGTGGGGCAGTGTCCTGGGCAGGCCGTTACCAGCACCCTGCACTCTCCTTTCTCCATTAGAAACTTCCTCAAGGACTCGTCGAAATATTGGTTCCCTTCTTTGTACCCGTCCAACAGCAGCAGAGCCTCACTGCACCTGGTTAACACCGTCCTCAGCTCATCCTCTGTTGATATCTTTTCAGTGAGAGAAAGCTGAGTCATTATTTCCTGATACAGGCTGCCCTTCACTTTGCTGCAGTCGACGTAAAAGAGGAGTTGAAGGGTGCTGAGATCGAGGAGGTTCGAGAGGGCATGTGTGGACCCCTCAGTCCAAGAGGAGACCAGGATGTGGGCGTAAGTTGTCTTCCCGCTTTCTGGGGGCCCCTCAAGGAAGAGTGTCTCTCCAGCTTCTGGGAGTAAAGCTTGAAGATTCAGAGGCTGGCCCTTACTGGAAAAACAAGCAGGATACGACTGTAAGCTTCACAGGCCCATATAATTATTAAAACATATCTATCAGCTGTGTCAACTGGATATGTTGACACACAACATTAAAATTCCTTGCGGGAAAATTTGCCTTGTATATGGATGTCCAATCAGTGTTGATGGCAAATGCAGTCAACTGAAGCAATAAATTCCTCTGTGCATGCGACACTGACTGCTAAATCTGTTGTTCTTTCTGCATCCAGCATCGTCATTTGACTTGGCAGTGACATATTTGGAGGCAAGGAAGAACTACTGTACAGGCTGGATTTCGCCTCTACATGGTGCTCAGAAATAAAACTTCCTTGTCTTTTTGCTTATATTGCAAACTAGCCACATTACCAACAGCAAAAATAGCATCCTAAAATAAGAGTGCAGAGGATACAGCCAGCGGAAACTCTCCAGAATCTGAGTTGCCGAGAGCAAACACCAACTGGTGGTGCCTTTGCTCAAATTGCCTTCCAGTGCCAATGAAAACGGAATCATTCTGCTGCAATCAATGTCAGCGTTTGCAATTTTTGTTGGATGCTGTCGCTGATCCCAACCATTAGTGTGTGAGTTACAATGCATGAAAGTTTAACTCCTCTCTTACACAGAGGTGTGTCAGGATCCAGAAAATAAACCAGAAAAGACCACCAAGATGCTGAGAGTGCACAGATGACCACTGACCGCTGTTTTGGCCAACAAAGTAATAGCCCTACTTGTGCTACTTGTTTATTCTTAACCTAACCCTAACCACTCTCACTCCAATTCAACCAATGAAGGAAGTGCATAGTTGCCAATCAGAGGGAGAGAAGGGAGAGTCATGCCTTGGTCATCCTTGGAAAAAAACATTTTGCCTCAGCAAGCAGGGGAACTCCACTTTCTCGGTCAACATAGAATGCTTCGCTTGACTACATTTACCATTAACACTGATTGTATATCAATATATAAGATGGTCACATCAGCATTCATGACAATATCCATTTGTTTGGATGGAATCACGACTTTCTATAGTTTGGCTTGCAGAGGAGAAGTAAATCTGCCCAAACTTTTAATGTCCAGTTCAACTCTGGTGAATTCTGAATTGCACATTTATGCCACTGGCCAATATCAAGCCATCTTTGCAGCCTAACCCTGCTTCGCTGAAGCATTAACTGCTCAACAATAGAGGAATGGTTTGCAGACTCTCATATATGAGCATCTTTAAAAGCTGCGTGTAAGTTTTTTCCTGCTATTGACCAAGCTAACGAGCTTGCTGACTGACAGTTAAGTTTGTTAACTAACAGTTCGCAAGCTAGCTTGTTCATATATCAAAGAGAATGGGGGTAATTAAAACTTTCCTCAGTAATTTAGAACACAAAAAACCCAAATTGTTGCTGTTACTGTAAATAAGATCACAGAAGTCTGGCATCTGAACAATCAACATAGAAAATCTGTGTTTGTGACTCACTTGTTTTGCAACTTGTGGTGTAGCTCCTCCACACTGACAGCGTCACAGTGCTGTTTCGCCTCTGTGCTGAAGGAATCGGAATAATGGGCTTTCAGAAACACCCCCAGATTTTCCTCCACGCAGCCTGCAGACAATAAAACAGACCAGATCATGACCATATCCGCGTCATTTCATGAAGAGGTAGCAAATGGTGTGAAAAATCCTGTAGATGTTTTCTTTCAGTCTTGCACAGAAGAGTGTCTGTTCGGTAATATTGGTGTGAAGTGCGTAGGTTTATAATTTTACAGTAAAAGGCATTTTTAGTATAATGCTGTTACAGAAAACTACAGATTCCTGGAACAAGTTGTCGCGCTAAATAAGTCTTCTCTGAGAGGCTTGTTGAAAACATTTAACTCTTAACTGGGTGTGGTAACGTCAGTATTGAACATTTAAAGGCAGTTTTCCACAAACATCCACAGGGGTTTTACTCAGTGTCACTGCAAATTAATTCTGTATAATCATTTTTAGAACTGATTTACTGATTTCATGACTGACAGAGAATTAATTGGCCACTATTTTGTCTTTTTTCAAACAAAAAATATCAAACATTCACCAATTCAAGCAGCCAAAGCTTGAGAGGATTTGCTGCTTTTTTAAATTTTATGTGGAAGTTCACTGAATATCTTTGGGTTTTGGACTGCTGCTTGCAAAAAACAAGACATCTGTAGACATCATCTTGGGCTTAAGGAAAATGTGACGATGAAAAACTTGAGAGCCACTTACCCACATTAAAGATAGTTGTCTCCTCCGCATTGTCTTTATTTTTTTGAAGGTCTGATGGAAAAGAAGAGTGCCATTAGAAAAATGACACAAAGAAGAGTGTTATTGTCATTAATAAGTGAGTTATTTGATGTGTACACATACGAATCTAAGATGTACTTTGTGCTGTGCAACTGTACAGAAAAGGGGATCTTTGCACTTCTGTATTTAAGAGAACAAGTGTTGAGTCCATGTAACATAATCAGCTTTCACACGATGCCAATACTTAATTCAATACGTAATTCATGAAATAGCCGTATTTCACCACCTTCGCTGAGCGTTTCACACGAATAACTTCAACCACAGGTCTCGATGCATTTACATATGTGTTATGTTTTTGTAACTTGTAAGAAGTCATCTTAGTTTTAGCCCTTCTTGTGAAAGCACACTACATGTTCGCTTGGTCGCGAGCAGCACAGCCGTCAGGGGCCATTAGCAGGGATTTTAGAATTTCCACTGATAAACCACACATGCGAATGACTCATTACAATTTCATTATTTCATGAGTAACTTTCATGGGTAACTGCTAGTCAAGCAGCCAGGCAACTGGAGAATGGCTGATGTTGATCGGAGAGTGAATCATCACAGTGGAGAAGGAAATTATGATCAGCATTTTAGGATACCCCTAAATGTATAGTCTCAGTCTTATTCATGAGTGACAGAAACTGTAGGCGTCTTTTGTCTTGTGTCGAAATATTATGCAAATGCATCATCAGCAATTTGACTAAAGATCATCTTGTTTGCAGCGAAATGCTTTTTAAGTGGAATCTACGGAGGCCCTAAAGGTCACTGCTATTTTTGCACTATTTTTACATTACCTTGCAATAACTTCGTGTTACATCCTAATACATTTTGCATTCCTTCTGATCCATAGAGGAAGGCTAAGCTAAGGCGTGATATAATGTATTAGCTACAGCCATCAGCCGTGCCTAGCATAAGCGGGCACACCCTCTGTATTTTTGCAACTAGTGTTGAGACAAGTAGTGCAGGCTAGGTAAAGATCCAGTGTGTAAAATGGGTTGAAAACAGTGACATCAGTGGTCAAATTCTAGATTGCAGGGCTCACTCGCTCACCCCTCCCGTCAGGTAAATGACGGTGGCTTCGTAGGGACAAAAAGCCTTGCGCACTAGTTTTTCAGGAGTAGGTCTATCTAGCGACGAGGTGAATATTTATTTAGAAATCTAAGCCATGTTACGATATTGTAATGAATCCCTCACGAGCAGGAGACCAGAGGAGTGTTCAGGAAAAAGGCCAGTTTATTTGAGCACTCCAAAAACTCCGGTAACACTCCAGGGGGTAAAAGACTCTGTCCCAAACTCTGACTCTTCTAGCGTAACAGACACACTTCATACACACATACTCGTTTACCATTCCGAGTGGGGACCCCCCTCCCTCTCTGCTCCGCCAATCTCCAGCCCGCACACTGACTGACAGCGTAGCCGGTAAACAGAGCTCAGCTGTTTATTTAGCCTAGCAATATCTCCGGACTATAGTAGCTGCAATGGACGACTTTGAACACGATTTTGAAGAGTTTCTTGTAGCGGACGCAGACCCAGAGCCATACCTGTTTGAGCTGGAGCATACAGATGAGGAACTCCATGTGTTTGATGCTGAGCGGGCGAGAAGAGATGCTGAATGCACAGAATGACACTGTATATATATATATATATATATATATATATACATAAGCATAATTATAAGGCGACGAAAACCAAACGAATTTTATTTTATAGCGATTATACACTTGTATAAACATATTAATGGGTAGAATATTCAGATTCAGATTCAGATTGACAATAAACCATGCCAAATATTACACACTGGCCCTTTAACGTAGTTCTCTAAACGTGATCTCATCCCCACTCATTGTATTATGCCGCTTGGACAGAAGCCAGTGTTACTACTATGATGCTGTGGCCAGCCTTTTGTGTTGTATCTGGACGCAGAAGCAGTTGGAAGCAAGAAGAAGTTGGCAGTTAGATTTAGGCAACAAAACTACTTGGTTATGGGTTAGGAAAAGATCGTAGAAGTCACTAAAAAAAGCTGGCTTTGAGTAGTTTGTTGGTCTCGAACGCAGCCCCCCTTGATCAAACTCACCGAGATCACCTTTATATTTCTTTACTGAGATGATATTGATTGTTTTGCGCTGGTTGCGGGGTACTCGACTGAAAACATATTTTAAAAGGGGAATATTATAATAAAAGTTTGAGAGACACTACTCTACACTTTGGTATGGTTGTGACTGTGATTCCTGTCACTGCCATTGTGCCATGGCTTTGGTTATTATGGTAACAAGCCTGTAAGGCATTCTTTTAATGGGTGTTACATTATTTGCACATGCACGTGTTGTGTGTTGCCAGTAAATTGTTCAACTTTGTTTAGAGTGGAAGTGACCTACCTCGACCGTCAAACACCAAGTTCCTGGTACTGTGAGTGCTTACACCTATAGAAAGAAACATTAATTTGGTGTTGATACAGCGTGTGTGTGTGTGTGTGTGTGTGTATTTAAGTATGGATAGATGAAAAGGTGGAGGTTTGGCACTGTTTTCTTAATGTGACACTGAATGTTGTCTTTTAAATATCTAATATCAATCATGTATGTTATGTGCTATTGAAAGTACATGAATTAGTACATGTGATGGATCATGTGCTCGATTCTTTGTTTTCTTTATGGTGAACAACAAGACCTTTTTAGAAATTGTGACCTGATTCCAGTTAAAAAATCCGCCTGTAGGTTTCCAGACCTGTAGCTGAAGTATCTTATCATGTTCACACATTCATATATAGAGAAACATGTAATAAACCTACTATTGAAATGATAGAGGTACTTGTTCAGGGGACTATACAAACAAGAAACGTGCTACACTAAAAAAAAACACCCATGCATTTACAAAACAGCTGCGCAAATTCCCCTGCCACATAAACCAATACTAACACCATGGGTGTTTCCAAACTTGTTGGCTGGAACACGTCTCATCCAAATAGCAAAGTCATGGTCACATGAAAGCATGTGTAGCAAATCACATGGTGGTGTAAACTTCCCTCGAGGAAAAATGGCAGACATTAAGGAGACAGATCTGATGTCTAAATTTTGTAATGTTTCAAACACTTCCTCTTTTCAGCAGCATCGACTTGACTCAACATGTATGAATGTGTGTGTCAGAGCCTGCAGTGTCTTTCAGTTGAAATGACACAGTTGTTTACTGACAGGGCACAAGTTCCTCTGGGCATCTGAAAAAAAACAAAATAAGCACCACTAGGTTGCCATGGCTTTGACACAGGAAGGATATGCTTTAGATACTGACAAATGAGTCTGACACAAACTGAACAACTCTGTTCTGGTTGGGCATCAAAAAAGTTCAATTCTATTCCGGCCTAAGTCACTAAAGTGTTTTGTAAAGGCTGTCACAGGCATTGGCTGTCACAGTTAAAAATAAACCAGTGTGAATGCTTACAATGAGGAAATAATCAAGACTAAAAACAAATGAAAGTCCCATTCCATTTCCTGCAGATATTCATTCAAGGCACATCCTAAAGGGAAATCCAGTCCTGCAGTGACCCCGCCTACCCTGCACATGCTGCCTGTTCTGCACAGTGCACACACTGCTGTCCTGCACACACTGCCTATCATGCACACACTGTCTTCAGGCTACAGCTTCAGTGTCACGTCGCTGTGTATTGTGCATTACGGCTTCATACATGAGTGCAAGAACAGATAATCCCAGCACCATTTGCACTCTGCATGGACATGAGAGTATTCTGATTTGTATAGTTTGTCTCCAATCTACACCTGCATTCTGTGTATGACCGTGTTTTTTGTAAGCTACATGTTCTGAATTTGTGCTGTTCACATAAAGAATTGAGTGACTGGTTACCTTTTCGTCGTCGTCGGTACACAAACACTGCAACGATAATGGCGACCATTACCATTCCTATGCTCAGTACGATGAACACAGCGTCGGTCTTTACTGGCGGAACAGCAACAGATATTTCGTCTGTGAAAAGAGTGAGAAAAACTTGTAACTCAGCAATGACAGGGTCAGGACAAAAAAGTGCTGCCCATGCTTTCAATGGTTGACCACTATGGAAATAACCAAATATACCGAAGACAAACCATTGTGAACTTCCCCTTACTGATAATGAACTAAAATATACAGATGTTAAAAAGTGACTCATACTTGTGTTATGTTTTTTTTATTAGCCGTGCATGCAGACAGAGTTTCTTTTACTTTTCGTCTTTTTGTCATATTTGCAGGCTGTTTTTATTTATTTAAAATAACCTGACAAACCTTATATTCCTAGCTTATCAGGTTCCAACATGCTGCATCCAAAGGAGCAAATAATCCTTTGCACACATGTAAGCAGAAACATGTGCAGCCTACATCAAACACACAACCCAGCCACACATTTCCGCACAACACAAAATCTCTTGTAACAGAACTCCTACACACTTGTGATCACATGTAATCACATTTGAAGTGGGTTGACAGCACATACCTCTGATGCAAACATAACAGGAAACAGCAGTTAGGTGATAAGTACGCAAATGATTGTATTTCCTGTTGTCAGATAACAAAACTTCACCAAACTGAGAAGTGCAAGCTGATTTTTCTTGTGTATAAGTTAAAGTAGCACAAATTTGCTTCAGTTTTCTTACATCCATGGGAAAGTGTTTAACGGAGGCGCCATGAGGGGGGAAAAAAATGAAGAAGTACTGATGGAAGAAGTACTAAGATGATTTACTTAAAGGCCCAATGTGCAGGATTTAATGGCATTTAGCGGAGAGCTTGCAGAACTGAAAATTCCCCTGTGTGCCAGGCATGAAGGAGAACTACTGTGGTTGATGCAAAAACACAAATGGCCCTATCTAGAGCCAGTGTTTGGTTTGTCTGTTCTAGGCTACTGTAGAACAACATGGTGGCTCAGTATGTAGATATAAACAGCTCATTCTAAGGGTGCCTGCCCTGTTTGGTTTGGTTCAGTTGAACTCAAGTTCATTTGCCCCCTAAGTGCAGTTCGTTTGGGCAGGTGTAAACACAGCAATCGCACTCGGGTGCTAACCAAAACAACTAGACCTTCTTGAAGAGGTGGTCCCGGTCTGGTTACAAATGAACTCTGGTGCGGTTCGTTTGTGGTGAGAACGTGTTCCGACCTCAATCCGAACCAACTGCAGTCACATGACACACTGTTTGGGTTAAACATGAGCATGTTACAGTCCTGGGGGATTATTAATGTGCACCTCCTCCTGTACTGCCTTAATATGCACATTCAGCACATCCAATGCATCAAAACATTGTTTTCTAGTTGGAGCCGCGCCTCGTTTTCAAACTATATGGTTTGACTAAAATGAACAATGACAGCAATATAGTCCACGATGAGCAGCGCTAAAATCAACCTGCGTAGTTGTCCCTCCATTGTGACATTAGAAAGTGTCACATTTATCTTGCAAGTGTACTCTTCTTCAACGTTTTGTTTACTTCCTGGATTTTTCCCACATGGAAATTCTGACCAATCAAGAGCCGCTTTCTCGTGCAGGGCATTTGATCTGGTCTGCTTGTAAATGCTGCCGTGAGAACACGAACCAACTCTAGGCAATTATGCAACTTTGGAATAAAATTAGTCCTTGCTCCTCTTCTTCTTTTTCTTCTACTTCTTCTTCTTCATAGGCTCTCCTGCTTTTTCTTTTGGTTACAGACGTTTCTTTTTCGCTATTGTTGTAAATAAATATTACCCTTTTGTATACTCGTCTTGTTTCCTATGTTTGTTGCAGCCTTTGAGCTGGCTTGTTACAATTATTTGTATGCATCATACAGATGATTATATTTTGTATGAATCTGTATCTGCAAAGTAACTTATCAAATAAATGCAGTGGAGTAAGAAGTAAAATATTTTCCTCTGACAAGCAGAGGATTTAAGAAGTGAAAAGTACCTCAAAATTCTACTTAAGCACTATGCATGAGTCAATGTACTTGGTTACATTCCACCGCAGGACACATTATACTGATGACTGTTTGCTTACTTTCTTTTGATTCCTTAATCTTTTGGAGGGGGAGCGGGTCATGGGGAGCTGACAGGAAATGATGGGGGAGTGACGGGGCATGACATTAAATTAAGTTCCCTGGCCAGACTTGACCGGGAGATGTTGCAAATAAATGGCCAATATATATATATTTTTTTTTTTTAAAAAAACCTGTCTGCTTTCATTTTCTCTCCAGTTCAGTATTTTTTTAAGTAGAAGGAAAGGAAATAAAAACATACCTGGAATATCAAATGTTGCAGAGTAGCCACCATTCATAAAGGTACACGTGTAGTTGTTTTTGTCTGACGATTTGACGCGTATCTGACTGGTGACTTTAAAAAGCTGGTTAGGAGATGATTTGTCTGTGCTATTGGAAGTGATGCTCCGTCGGTGTCCATCCTGCCACGTAACAGGGGACCGTGGGTATCCCTCCGACTGGCAGGTCAGCAGCACCTCATCCCCCTCTTCAACCTTCTGAATGTGTTTAGTCACATTTTTATAAGGTGCTGGAGGAGAATCAGACAAGAAGAATATGCAATAAGTACCTTGTTTTAACTGCTGATTAAATGTTAAACTGCATGTCGTTGTCTCAGTGCCTGTGTTCTGTCTGCAATGCAATAAAGTCTAATGAGTCCTATCGAATCTGATCCATGAGAATCTCAGGATTATGATCAAGACATCTTGCATGATTAGAAGAAGATCTCGAGGAAAGTTTATATGAGCCAAAAGCATTTTTTAACATATTGAGTAATATTGGTGTTAGTTTCATTTTCACAATGACTGCTGTGCTGGCTGCCCAGAAATGACCACAGGCTACGGCCCATCCTTCCCAGAACAAAGCCCCTGGAGTCTTCCCCTTTTAAAGACCTAATATATTACAGTGCTACACTGTCACAGACTCTTACCTGTAACAGACAAAGTTATGGTTTTATAATCGGCTCCTTCTTTTGTCTGCACCAAACACTGGTAGTTGCCAGAGTCATTTATCCTGAGCTTGGAGATCTGTGAAGTGACAAAAGAAGACAGTAGTGTCTTGGTTTTAAACTAAAAATCATGAATGAAAATCATAAATTCAGTTGCGTAGTCCCTCTTTTGCTATCTCCAACACTTATTTCTAGCACATCTCTTTGTTTATTGTTCTGCTTTAGACAAACACTACTGTCTCTGTCTCTATTTGGCAGTGATACCTGAGTATCTGGTACTGTGAACACAGAGAATAATGGGGAGATAAATATGATACTCTTGAGGTAAGCAGTGCAGTTTTTATGCCATCCTGTGTGTGGGGAATGTGAACCTTGGTAATTCCTGATAGCCTGAAAAGGAGCTGGCAAGTGTGCCCAGTAGCTAAGTAGGTAGAGCAGGCGCCCATGTACAAAGGCAATGGCCTTTGCTGCGTGTCATCCCTTCTCTTTCATGCTTAAAACTGTCCTCTCCAGTAAAGGCAAAAAAAATAATCGTAACAAAAAAAAGGGGTGAGGTAAGCATGAGTAAGTTAACCACATCACTTCACAGGAAATTTGACAGGAAATAACCCATAACAAATTCTACGTGAACCTGAACACATCACTGCCAGTACTGACCTCTAACTTGGCCCAGCCATCCTGCAGCTCATCAGTGAGAAGCCTGACTCGGCCCACATAGTCCGGATCCCGGGATGCCAAGTTCTCCCTCCAGTCGTCCATCCGGTAAACATCCCGAACCAAGCTGTTGCTGATCCAGTGCCAGGTCACCTTCAGGTCAGCAAGAGGACTTAATAGTTTAGGCTGAAACCTGCAGCCCATCACAACAGCTCCCCCGAAATTCGACGTGTACATGGTTTTCTCTGCCTCAACAGTGAACAACACTGCAGGGGGATAACACAGAGTAATGTCAGGATTAACACAGTCATGACATGTCTGTTGTACATTTCATACCATATACCTGAAAGAGAGATTCTACCACATACCTGAGAGGGATGGCTGAAGCATGATCTGCAAAACTAGAATAAAAGCCCAGTCCATTGACACCTAAGGAAGAGACAAAAAGGAGTTGCACTGATGTTAAGATGTTTTTTTGTTTGTGTTACAGTGAAGCATGAGTCATTTTACTGGAGAAGGCCAGATGTGAATTCCACAGCCACAGCTAGCACGATCTAGCTTACTTCAACACTCTGCAGAAAAAAACACATGACTCTGAGACAAGAGAACCACACATCATCACATCAAAACATCACATGTAAGTGAGATATACATTTTTATTTCCTAATTTCAGCATGACTCAGCTCTTCAAAGCACTTTACTTCCCTCTTGGCTTATTCTTGATAAAGATAGTACATAGTAAATACTAAAAATAGTATAAAGGATGCTATTGGTTGTCCCTGATGACTCTGGAGCTGTGTCAACACACACACACTCACAAAGCCGATGTTTTTCTCAGAATAGATTTCATCTGACAGCAAATATGCTTCAGTAGAACATATTAAGTCAGACACACATGAAACACGTAAAAATCGGGGTGCACTTTTAGTAATCCTTTTAGAATGAAATTCTACCTACAAATCAAGTTTTATTCACTTGCACCATATCACACAGATCTAAAAGCAAATAATCTGTGAGATGGAAATGACAAATGAAGCTCAGCCTAAGTTCAATCAGGAAGACCTTTCTCGTGCTCACCCTTTCACATTTTTCTCCATGCCACTCTCCACTACTCCCTCTAATCAGCTGTCTATGGGTGTTCACTCCTCTAGTTATCCCATCACACTTTGCCATGATCTCTCAGCCAATCAGGATGCCAATGCAAAATTTTAAATCTGCTCTCTCTTCTGCTGCTGTTAGCCATCATTTTAGGCGGAATCTTCGCACCCTCCTCCACCCCGGTCACCTCCAGCCATCGTATCCAGAGTCCAGGACAAGCTCTCAAAGATTCATTCCTCTACTCATCCAAATCATCGGCACTTCTCCATCTTCCTCTCATCTCATCTTCACCACCTCTACCACCACCAGCGTCTAGACCCCAGGGGGGTTCCCTATTCGACTATGGATTTATCACTCTCCTTAAATCACACCCTCTCTACGGGGTCTAATTGCCAAAGACTTTCCACATTCTTATTCATTCCTTCACATGTTAATAAATATTCTTTTACCATAAAAATGTGTCTCTCCTGATTGAACTGCAGTTTGGCAGAACATTTATGCCTTTGAATGTGGGTGAGCTGCCATTGCTTCGAGGGAATTCTGCCCATTTTCAGAATTCATACATATTCTAACATACACATTATAGTCTAAGGCAGTCCAAAAAACTTAGTAAACAGGCACAACTCTCTCCTGAATCCCAAAACCAGAGTGCTAAAACTCAAACTTGTGCTGCATCAAATACAAACTCTGGAGCTGCTTTACTGACAATGAATGGTGAAACATGTTCTAGATGACACTGAGGGCACCCAGGGGAATGTTCTGGGTACACAGGAATATTTTCTGTTTCACAGAACACTACAATAGAGTAAAACTCATTTGAGTACAAAAACAGAAACCAAACATTCTGTGGTGCATAAAATCAGGCTCCCATTCATTGTCTGGGGAGCAGCTCTGGAATTTGTACCCTGTGACCTCACTTCTGTGGCTTGTGGCTCTTTGACAGAGAGCAGCTTATGTTCACAAATATTAATTGGAGTTTCTTTGGCCATGGAAATAACATATTGGAATTCTTAATTTAGTTAGTTTTAAGTTTGTTACAAAAGCCTGTTGTGAGCATGTTTACTATTGTTAAGATAACTGTACTGGTTGTCAGGCTACACATTCAAGCATTTGGCAAAACAGTGATATACTCCACCAAACCACATTAATTATACAAAATTAAAAGAAAAAGTAATTAAATGCTCACAAATAAACATCTACTTCCAACATTAATAGTATAGCCAATAAAAATAATTATAATAATAGGTTAGAAAACAGGTTTAAAAGCTGTGCAAATGCTGCTGTTAATAGCCCATTTTCTTACCTGGAGGTCATGCAACAGCTGGATATATTTTCATCTGGTGTTTCCTTCTTCTTTCAGCTCTGATCTGAGCGCTCTGCCTCTCCTCTACTGTTTATGACTGTCCTTACCACATACACACGCCCCCCCCCCCCCCCCCCCCCCCCCCGCCACACACACACTGACGTTTGCACTACAAATATTCTCTAAACATTTACTTATCTCACTCACCTAAACCCTAGGTGAGAAATTTAGGAGTTCAGCTCAAGTTTGTCAAACTTTTTGACTCCAACAACCGAGGAAGAACTGCTTTTTTTTTATCCCCATGTTGTTAATACTACGTGTGCTATAAAAAAATACTGTAAATGTCATTGCATCCTGCTATTTTACAACCCCTTACCGAGGAAACAGGTCTAGGCTACTACTTTTCTAATAACAAAGCAGCGCGTCATATCCCAGGAAAGGGTGAACAACATCGCGAGGCTACAAGGAAGTATGAGTGCGCGTCGTTTACAGTAAGAAAGACGTCCCAGGTGTCTTATCTGGTAACTACAAGTTTACAACACTTTAAACGTTAACAAAAGCCTCATGTCTGCAGAGCGCCACCTTCAACCTGTAAACTTTATTGACAGGTGTTTGTTTGTGTGTCTGCTGCGCGTGCCAATAAATAATAAACAACAAGAGACGTTCAAGAGTTGTTTGTTAATCAAATTGATCAGAGTCTGCGAGATGTGTTTGGTGGTGTCTGTGTGTTTTTTCCTCTCTGTTTCTGTTTCTGTCTCTGTGATCATCAGTTCCCTCGCGGGGGTCCCTGTGACGTCACGTGTACAGTACAGCAGTATGTTTGTAGACTTTACAGTTTCCACTTTCACACGGCTCAGCTGTTTTACAGTTCAGTGAGATGTATTTATGTCATTTAGGCTACAGTAACCGCCAAAGCTTTGACAAATCAGTCCGGTAGAAGAAGTGTTTACATCCTGTACTTAAGTAAACGGTATCCATGTGGGCTATATGCAAAAAAGCTGCTACAAGTACTTAAAATGACACATGCATTTGAATCAAAATGTACTTAAAGTGTCAAAAGTAAGTACTTATCATGCAGCAGAATGGCCCCAATCTATTACTGGATTATAATTACTCAGTGTCGGGAAGATTATTTTTGAAATGTAGCAGTAACAGATTACTAGTTAGCTGCTACAAAAATGTAATAATCATAAGTGCTATATCGTATGCAACTGAACGCACTGCCTACGATATAGCATTTATGATTACCATGACCTGGATAACTGAGAATCTTCAACAAAAAAATGTACAAGTAATTTAACTGTTTTAATCACTGTATCAAAGTACTATGATTACATTTGATTACTTTTTTTTACCACTTTTCTAACTTATCTTGTATATTTGTATATTTTGCCAGATGTTTAATACTCTCTTGTTTTTAAAGCTGAACCCACGGAGCAACCCTGGCCTGGGAAACCCACTGGTTGTTCTGGTTGCTCTGGTTGTTACTGGTTGTGAATGTGAAATTGTTCTGTACTGTACATAGCGTTGCTTAATTTGAAACATTCTCTGTCACAAGAATTTCCTTCAGGTTAAATAAAGCTCTGTTAAACTGAACTGAACTGAGCTGAACTGAACTGAACTAAACTGAACTGAACTGAACTGAACTGAACTGAATTGACTTGAATTGGGTCGGTCGTGGTGAAAATGGAGCTGAGCCAGAAGCCGAAGCTTTCGACTTACTGGTCCATCTACGTCCCCACCCTCACCTATGGTCATGAGTTCTGGGTAGTGATTGAAAGAATGAGATTGTGGATACAAGAGGCCGATATGAGTTTCCTCCGTGGGGTGTCTGGGCTCAGCCTTACAGATAGGGTGAGGAGCTCGGACATCCTGAAGGAGAGTTGCTTCTCCTTCGTAGTAGTGAAAGGGGTCAGTTGAGGTGGTTCGGGCATCTGATCAGGATGCCTCCTGGGCGCCTCCTGTTGGAGGTGTTTCGGGCACGTCCCACTGATAGGAGGCCCCAGGGCAGAACCAGAACACGCTGGAGGGATTACATATCTCATCTGGCCTGGGAACACTTTGGGGTCCCCCAGGAGGAGCTGGAAAGTGTTGCTGGGGAGAGGGACATCTGGGGTGCTTTGCTTGGTCTGCTGCCCCCGCGACTCGGCCCCAGATAAACAGATGAAAATGGATGGAAGGATGGATGGATGGATGGATGAACTGAATTGAACAACAAATGTTTTAAACTGGGCAATGAAGCTGAAAAGCCCTAAACACATATGTGCATAAGTTTCTGCTGACCTGCAGTATTCAGAAACATATACTAAAGAAGTAATTCCTGCTTTGGGATGAGGAATGCGATGATTTAATTACATAACTCTGTTACATGTAACTAGTTCCTTCACAACACTGTAGGCCTACTGATGTGTAAACATGTAAGAGGTATGTTAAAGAGGAACACCACCTAAATTAAGAATTCCAGTATGTTTAAATGGTAAATGAACTGCACTTGTACAGCGCCCCTCTAGTCTTCTGACCACTCAAGCCACTTTTAACACCACATGTCACATTCACCCATTCACACACACACTCACACACTGGTGGCTGAGGCTACCATACATGATGCCACCTGCTACCATTCACATACACTCACACACCAATTGAACAGCCATCAGGAGCCATTTGGGGTTCAGTATCTTGCCCAAGGATGCTTCCACATGTGGACTGGAGGAGCCGGGGATTGAACTGGCAACTCGCTCATATGTACTCATATACTCAGATTGTTCCCCTGGCTGCTCTCAGTGTCATCTGTAACACCTTTTCTAATTCATCATCTATGGAGCATACCCTATGACATCACAATTTTGAGTTTTAGCACTCTGGTTTTTGGATTTGAGAGAGAGTTGTTAATGATAACTAATATTTTTTCACTGTCTCTGACCATCTGAATAATAGGTATGAATTTTGAAAATGGGTGTAGTTCCCCTTTAAGGTTGAAACTGGTTAAGGTGGAGTTGTAATGACCTTATAGACTGTTGGGCAGATTAATCTGTACAACTGCAGTGTATTTACAAACTAATGTTCTGTAGACTATATAAAATTTTATTCTGCTAAGTTATAATTAACCATAGCTGTTGAATGAAAAAGTACTTTGAAAGTAGTGGAAAAGACTAAGTATTAAGTAGAAGAAAATGAAGATACTCAAGTGCAGTTACCACAAAATTGGACACAGACACACATATAAGTACATGCACTTAGTTTTTTCCACCCTTGACAAAGTAACACTGCTACTATTACCACTTGGCTGCCACTACAGTCTCGTAAATAAACTGGAATTTTCAGTTGGTGTTGATGTGTAAATGATGCTCCAACAACACAGAGATTCATGTCCACACAAATCAACACACGTCATTTGGGAAAGCTGGCAAATTATGACGCAACATATCTTTTACATATCATTTCCATCACAAATTATGGGCCAGGTGGAATTCCCATACTCAAGGCGACAGGCATCCAATGATTTCTGTCTGTCCCATGCACAGTATGACTGTATCAAATTTTTCTGTGGGATTCCCATCAACACTTATAAGCTCCCTCGTGTTGTACGTGGTCACACACAAAATTTTCAACATGGCAATTCTATAGTGGCTCAAGTCTGATGTTATCAATGTTTTTGCGACTAGGGAGTATATTTTTGTGGCATTTCCACCGTTTTAAAAAACCCTTAGGAAATCTGAACTCGCTACTCAGATTTCTCTAAGATAAAGCAGGTAAAACACCTGAAGGAAAGGTTTGTGACAAAGATCTTGTGTAAACAGGTTTGTTTTTTCCTGTGCCCTCCAGCAGTAGTAAATCATTCAACAGGCCTATGTACAGTACCGTAGGGGGTGTACTGATAGGGTGTAACCAGGAAGTAAAAAATATGCCGTGAGTCTGGCTTTAAAGATCGTACTTAATCTGAGTAAATGTGCATTTTTTTCTTCAGTCAATTATGGTGTTAAAAATGGAAGAATAAATTAAAATGCAAGGCCTTCAGCACAAATACTGTATTCTGTGGTGCTGTGGCCTGTATGTGCTGTTGAAGGAGTGTTCGTAGGATGACTCATGTATGTTGTGAATCTAAGGAGATGGAAAAGCAGGCGTTATTTGCCCAGGAACGTACAGTTTGGCCAGGAGTTCCCAAAGCTGTTGTAATGCGTTGATGACAAAAGATAGCTTGGCTTGATATGTATCACTGCAACTTGAATATTTTCTCTTTGACAAATCCACCTTTTAAGTAAACCCACTTGTGCAAGGTCTATCCATTCTTTCATTATCTATATCCACCCATCCTGTGCTGGGTGTTGGAGCCTATAACAGGTCAGCATTTACATAAAAGTCTTCCGGTTTAAAACTTTTTGTCTGTAACGGCTACAGAGATTATTTGCCCAGGAAGGTGACATTTGGCCAGGAGTTCCCAAAGCTGTTGTAATGCGTAGATGATCAAAGATAGCTTGGCTTGATATGCATCACTGCAGCATGAATATTTTCATTTTAAAAAGTCACGTCAGCACAAACGCAAAAGCAGCTTGGGAAGCTAACTTTCCCTCAAAGTTATAGTGGTATTTTCACAAGTATTAAGGACCCCAATTGTGCAAAGTCCATCCATTCTTTCTGTGCTGGGTGCAGTATTTACATAAAATCTTTCAGTTTTAAATGTTTTTTTGTCTTAAACAGCTATAATCAGGCGTTATTTGCCCAGGAAGGTGACATTTGGCCAGGAATTCCCAAAGCTGTTGTGATGACAAAAGATAGCTTGGCTTGATATGTATCACTGCAACATGAATATTTTCACTTTGACAAGTCATGTCAGAACAAATTAAAAGCAGGGATAATAACTTTCCCACAAAGGTATTGTAGTCTATTCACACGTATGAAGGACCCCAGTTGTGCAAAGTCCATCTATATCCACTTATCATGTGCTGGGTGGTGTAGCCCATAGTAGGTCTTACAGTTTTCAACTTTTTTTTTGTCTGTAATGGCTTAGATATATATTTATCTATCCATCTAAACTATATATTTTGAAAACATTATTTCATGTAAAATAACTCCTTAAAGTAAGTGAAAAGACATTGTCTTTTCT